TTTAGTCATCTGTTACAGTGACAAGGCACTGATGTGTTTGCTCTAGTTTACAGAGGAAAGTTTCATCATTACCTGGGTGTAACTGAATGCATCTTTTAATTATAGATCTTTGGATGACTAATCCATCCATTCATTCTGCTATTTACCATAACTTCCAGTGGTCCATAGGGGCTAATCAGCTGGTATCTCACCTAGGCATTCCTTCATGAAGTCACTGGGTCCTACTTACAGTAACACGCCTGACAAATACGATTTCAGCTTTGCTTGGAAAAACAATTAATTTGAACTAGAAGCTCTCACTGGTAGATTCTGGCAGTTACTGTGTGTATGTCCCTTTCCCAAGGTTTCTTCAGATACATGTTTCCTGTAAAGGGACTACTTGAGATTATTAGTTTCCTTCCTAGCATTACTTATCACCAAGTGAACAAGAGAGAAAGAAATGGTGGGGGAAAAATTCACTCCAGCACATCTCCTGTGTATGAACGTCTCTGACCTGTATATTATATACTCCGACCCGGGGCAGAATGTCCACCCTGCAATTTTTAGCAGGCTATTTTGAACCCCACTAGCACAAGTCTGTCTATGGGGCTGGGAGGCATGCTCCCAGCTGCATTGTAGACATACCCTGGGTCTTTCTGAATCTCATTTTCCCATCTGAAAATTGGGAATAATGATATTTCCTTGCCTCACAGGGATGTTGTGATAAATGCATTAATGCCTGCCAGGTGCTCAGTTACTATGGGGATGAGGGTCACACAAGTAACTAGACAGACAGATGCACCATCCTTGTTGAAAATCCTGGACACCTGATAGCAATGCATCGGCAAGCCCATTGTCTGCTCCCACTTCAGCCTGGCACAGGGCATCTCCAACAGCTTTCATGTGGCTGATGAGCTCCACGCCTGACAGGTTGCTTGGCAGATTGAATGTGTAATGCTATGGGCTCAGAATATGCAAACTAGCATGGAACATGGGTGCATGCTGTGCTCCCACTACTGGGTAGAGGACCGTTTTCTTCATTTGGGGTGGTAACTTAGGGCCAAACCTGAGAAGAGCAGAGCACCTGAAACTTCACTGGGAGCTGCAGCAGCTCAGCACCTCTCAGGATTTGGCCCTTTGCTGTTCTTGCTGCTGCTTCTTTCACTTGAGAATTTTTCCCCCACCACCACCACCTTCCCACCCCCCAGGAGACCCTCTTTCTCCCTCCACCCAGTAAGGTGAAAGACCAGGATCGGAAGAGCTGGGATCGAAGACTCCAAAGGGGAGATTCTCTCACAACCATTATATTTCTTCCCCTCCATGCCGTTAATTTTAAAACCACTCAGAAGTGACAACATCAAACCCACGGCAGGTGCAGTGCAGTGGCTCATCGCACCCATGGGAGCTTGCAGAAACCTGCTTTTTTATATTATTCTAAGAACTGCTACTGTCTTCCAAGGAAAAGCTTTTAGCATAATTTGGCAGGCTGAGTCTGCACAGAACAACTCTCTGTGAGAGGCAAAAAAGGGGGGTGGAAGGGGGAAGGAGTAGAAGAAGGAGCGGAGCGAGACAAAGAATCCTCCTGCTCTTTGAATGAGCACCCCACATGCTGGCAGCATGGGGGACAAGTGGTTTTCTTTTTGTCAGAAGGCAAGCAGGGGCCTTACAGTTGGGGTAAGGGGCAAAGACGCCATAACCCAGGGGATGCTCGGACTCCAGATAGAGGAAAGGGTTACGAATGGCAAAGCAAAGGGGACCCAAAGCACAGCACTTTGCCCCTGCCACCCAGCGTCCTATGGTTTCCTTAAAATCAAACTTGTCCAGCCTTTGCTGTCTTTCTACTCTAATATGTCAGTAATAATAATAATACAAGGGAAAACCAGCATGATAGCAAAAGTAGGCAACAGGGAGGTGGAGGGGAGGGGGCAAAGGTAACTGTGCTGAAATGAGCCTTGGGGCCCTCATAATCTGAGCAGGAGGTGGAAGACCTGGTCTAAAAAAACCCCCACAACTCCCTTTTCCTTCAATATGCTGCGAATGTGCAACTTCTGGGAACATGCACGGCTTGTGCTTCTCATTAACAAGCTGCACATTAATAAATGTAACTCAGACAAATGTAACCATCCTTGGACCACATTAATCAAAAGCCTGACAAGACCGATCTAAAGAGCTGAGAGAGGAAAATAAAGCATAGCCAACAGAGAGGGTGTCATGCACTGATTTTCCATATCTCCCCGCCCCCCGCCCACATACCAGTATTCCTTGTGTTCAGAGTAACTCCTCCCCACCAAATCTATCCTTCCATACAGATGGCCCTATCCCTCCCAGCACCCTGCTATGTTTGCCCAGTGCACCCTTGTGAAGCAATCTCTTTCTTCCCCACCCCGTGTCTCTAATAAAGAAAACAGAGAAGGCTTATAGGGTATTAAAGCAAGATCAAGCCCAACAATTACTCAGCTCTGAAAAACTGTATGTTATCTATGTTGTTCTTGAAAAATCAATCAAGAAAAAAAATATATATATAAGGAGAAAACAAATTTGAAAGGCAAACAAAACCACTAAGGCTTCTTGGAGACATGAAGAGCCCAAAGCCCTAGAAAGGAAAAGAAAAGTACAAGGAGTTGAATCCTGCAAGACCCAGGGGAGAAGACTTCATGGGAATGACTTCCATTGCTTGGCGCAGACGCTGCAAACATACATTCCAGCTCCGGAGGTGATGTGGAGCCGCATCCTGGGAGGAGTCAACCCAGGGAGGAATGACTAGAAGTTGTTGATGGACTTTGTCCATTTGCTTTTGTTGGGCTGGGTTGCTTGCATGGCAAAACAGTGACAAATATTGGATTTTTAGCATCAGCCAAACTACCTCAGAGTAGGGAGGGCTTCTCACACAAGCCAAGTAGACTGAGGAACAACTGCTGATCAAAGCAACGCAAAGCAGCAAAAATTAAGCTCAGTGCGCCCCCCAAAAGCCACTGTTAACCAAACTGCTTAAATGAAATAAACACATACATGATAATTCGGGCTTGTCTGGAGGGAGCCTATGGCACAAAACACAGTATGGTGTTTTTCTACTCTTTCATTAGATAAAACAAATGTTTTCTATCACATAACACTGTCATTATTGTCATTCATACAGTGTGCTATAGGTGCCCATGACATACACAAAAAATGAGACAGTCTTGCCCCCACCATCCCTGCCCCAAACAGCTGCCAAATGAGTTCAGAGGATACTATTTCGATAGTTCAATTAGTCCATTACTAGAGTTGAGTGAGATTTTTCAGCCAAATTTTTTTCAGTGGAAAATGACGATACTGAAATGCTTCGTGAATGTATGTCAATTTCATCAGATTGTTCATTTTGAAAGGAAAACAAAACAAAAATTCAGAAAAAAATCAGAACTGTTTGGTTTGACATTTTTGCAATGTTGTTACACTGGAAGGTGTTGATGGCCGCCATCATGCACGTCCTTCAGCTGTAGACAATCACACATCTCATGAAAGCTGATGCCTGTGCTAGATCACCCTTCATTCAGGCTAAATGGAAGCCACAATTAAATACTCCTCTATGTAGCGATAACTGGCCACAACAGGAAGCCACCACCCAATGCACTGGGCCACATGGGAAAGCCGGAGCAGAGGTAAGCTGTATGGTTGGAGGTGTTTCTCTGGGACTGATTACAAATGCAGGGACTATGAGATTGACAAGCTGCGGACATCTGTGTGTGAGAGCGGCAGAAAACAAGAGCAGAAGTCGTGAGCATGGCCCTGAGAGGGAGCTGAGGGACAGAGTTTCTTGGGGCACAGGACTGGCTAGAAAGGCAGGCTTGGAAACGGTGATCAAGGAAACTGACTGCTGTGTGTTTCTACTATGTTCAGGGTAACAGGACTTCATGTTCCCGTCTTATAAATAAATAAAATTGCACCAAATAAATACCTGACTCATACAGAGTAGTAGCCAATTGCTTGAACCGAAGTGGCAACAATAAAAATAATAACAGCCATGCCAACAATCAAGTTCTCTCCCTCTTCATCAATGCCTCCAGTTTCCAGTGTATAAAGCTGTTTAATTGCAAGGTTGAACTTGGCAAGACTGTAGTTTTGCTTGAAAATTTCACCCTGAAATGCTCATTCATGATCAGAAATGGTGATAATTCTACAGCAAATACTCCCTAAATGAAAACCGATAGACACTTTGCGACAGGAAAACGTAATTACACTGTAATGTCAATGTAACTACAGTCACTCTGTTATAAACTGGAACCAAAATGGAACTCATAACTTTCACCAGCCCTAGAAAGGGAAGAAAGCAGAACGGCAAATTTCTCTTCTCCAGTCCACATAGGAGTACTCAACGCTAATATTTTTGTGGTCCCTTTATGTATGGATCTAATGTTGATGGCAGTGGGATTACCACACATATATTACTGTGCATAGTTGATAGGGTTCAAATTCAGAAACCAAAACCTCCATAGAATTGTATTGCTCGCTGTCTCAGTGATGTCAAGATGTACATGTCTGTTACACATTTCCTCCCCAAAAGATCCCAAAGCAATTTATGAAGTTCACAAATCTTACACAGGAATTCTTTCACGCACTGCAGCCACCTCTGGGGTGCAACATAGCAGCTTAAATATTTAATAGTATGTAGCATGCAAACACTATTCCATGGGTTAGCACTGACAGTGAGGATGAATGCTGTGTCCAACTGAATCTAAGGTGAGCATCTATGGAGACAGAATGGAATTACAAGAGTTGGAATCTGGCCGAGGGAAGTGCAGTTTACACCCCTCTTTCTTATGAAAGTACTGTACTTCAGTAATAAAGAATTCAGTAGGCCTCTCATCCCTCGGTCTCCCAGTCCCCTGCTCTCCTGCTGGCTGCAGCACACACCTGCCTTTGCATTAACTGCTTAAGTATATGCCACGTTCAACTTCTGGAGCTCTCTCTGTGTTCCACATAGGATCTCTGAGGCCCACAAGTAGCCAATAACTTAGTTATATATATCTTAGGTAGGTACTTACGGAACTGCTCCAGGTCATCACTACTTTTAGACTCTGGCATCGCAGTGATGGTGAGCAGTGGGCATGGGTTTCCTCCCAGAGTCTGGCACAGTGTCTGCTGCCTGTAGTAGACCTTCTTGGGGTTCCTGATTTCTTCCAGGATGTCAAGGTGGGACTGAGAAAGAAGCAAGGAACCAGCTTTATGAATGAGCTCATACTGTTTGAAAACTCATTATATTTCGGTCTCAGGCATCTAAACTGTGCCCTCACCTTAGTGGTCATTTCCTCTGTTATTACCCACTCCTTTACCCTCTTCTTTCTTCTGTCAGTCAGAACTGCCTCCCTCAAAATGTTTGCTGTGAATGCCCTAATAAATTCATTACAATATGGAAACCTGTCCCACAGGGAACGTGGCTAAAACCCATCAATTCAGTTCACACAGGACACCCAGCAGCCACCAGATGGTACCAGCTTTTGGTATCTACCAACCTAGGCTAAATTTCAGCCAGTGACCTAGAGACAAAAGACTCCAAATCTTATCTCCAGGCCGTTGATTCCACCCCAATCATCCAGTGTCTAGTTGAACAAATGCAGTTGGACACCTATGATGATCTACTTCATAAACCAATTTACTGTATAGAGTAAATGCAATTATTATACTTATTTAAATTATCTTGCACAGATATAGAGAATTTGTTACAATCAATTTCTTATATGCTATGATAACCAAGGCAACTTAGTGGAACCATTGCTACCATCGATACCACACAACAGACTGGTGAATTATAGCTTCACATGCAAACATTTAACATATCAATTTTTTAAAAATGAATTACTCCTCATCAAGTACACTTGATTACTACTGGTTGAAAAGCAATGCACTAGTGAGTGCATCCATTGAAAATGAAGTTCCTCTGTATATATGCTGTAAATATGTCTGCAGTTATTAAAAATATATGGTATTATTAGAAATGTTCTCAAATCACTAACTCCACATAGAAGTTTATCATCTTCCCAAATGCCCTTGGATTACTAATCACATTTACTTTATTACTCGTCTGTAGGAAAAGACATATTTCACCCACAGACACATGCTCTAAAATAAAACCTACTGGTGCACAGACCTGAGTTAGAATTTGTTCATCATGCAAATTACAGTAGTATAATAATCTTCCAAAGGGAAATGTGCAAGTCCCATCACTCACGTCATTTTAAATTAGCCTGGTCAAAGTTTCTCTGGAGAATATATTGTAGGCAGCAATCCTACTTTGGCCACCAGCTGGACATAATTATCAGCTCTTTTCCACCTCTAACACTCACTGTCCAAACCCTGATGTCCTTCACTCAGTTTTAATTCATTCAATCCTTGCTGAGGCAAAATTCTCATCGACTTCAAGGAGCATTTTACCTGAATAAGCAGTGAGTAAGGAATGAGTAAATACTTCAGGATTTAGCCCTGTGAATCTAAGAATAACAACATCCTTTCATCTCACTTCTATTCATTCAGGCGAGATACTCAGGGATTCCCACAGGGTACAAACTCTTAAAGCCTTGCATGCCCGCATACCAACAGAAGGAATCAATACATACTGAAATCATGACTAGGTACTGTACTTCAGTAATAAAGAATTCTGTAGGCCTCCCATCCCTCGGTCTCCCAGCCCCCTACTCTCCTGCTGGCTGCAGCACACACCTGCCTTTGCATTAACTGCTTAAGTATATGCCACGTTCAACTTCTGGAGCTCTCTCTGTGTTCCACATTAGCTCAAGGAAGTAATTGGGTCCCATGAGCCTGGTGCAGATAGGCTTGCACGCATGTTTTGGACAGCCAGGGCTTGACCTGAGGGATCTCAGGTACTGAATCCAGCTTTTCTGAACATCTGTAGTGGGATGCGAAGCAGTCAACTACGTGTTGTGGTTTGGAATGGGAATGAACCTAACATGGACTACATCAGTGCTCCTCAATGCCGGTTCACCGCTAGTGTAGGGAAAGCCCCTGGCGGGCTGGGCTGGTTTGTTTACCTGCCGCATCCGCAGGTTCAGCTGATTGTGGCTCCCACTGGCCGCGGTTCGCCGCTCCAGGCCAATGGGGGCTGCAGGAAGGGTGGCCAGCACATCCCTCGGCCCACGCTGCTTCCAGCAGCCCCCATTGGCCTGGAGCTCCTCCATTCTTGTACAAGGGCAAAATGGTACATTTAATAAAGTTTGAGCTTTAGAAATAGTCAGCAGGGGGCCCAAAATAGCTCCGTCCATCCATCAATTGCCCATAGAAACAGGGATTGGGTAGAAGGCATTAATGGCAAGACAATTAAAGGGGGCTGAGAAAAGGGGGCAGAGGCAGCCTGAACGTCCAGTATCTTCACTTTTGGAAAGGTTTCTCTCTCATGCTTAATGGTGAAGTGAAGTGCTGCCTGGGATCCTCCATTTTCTCCATTTATTCCCTTCTTTAGAAGCCTCACCCGGGGCTCTCCCACCAGTATGGTTCAGAAGGTGAGCTGGATACAGCTTTCCCCAGACCTCCCAACACTGTTCCCCAGCGGGCCAATGAAAGGCTCTAGGGAACCACATGAGTGAATCCCTCCCGCACCAGAGAGCAAACATTAACATCCATTTCAACACAGCTTTGAGACAGTAAAGCCTTATGCTTTGGGTCGGTTTGTTTTTCCACGTATACGTTGGGAGCACAACTGGGGATGTCTAACTGGGGCAGAGTGCACAGCTGACGGAGTAAATCTGAAACAGGCCCTGCACCTCAGTATTGCACGGTGCAGCTCTGCCAATAGTGAGTCGTTACATGATGGCCAAAAAGGTTTAGCCCCGTAGGAGAAGCAGTCAGCCTTTTCCTCCTAGCTTGCCATTAGCCCAGAGCAGCCCGCACTCTACGGATGGGCTGCTGGACATGTTTGGGTTGGCTGGTAAATACTAAAAAAAAATTCAGCCTTTAATCGCAGCCTGCTCCATGCAGTTAATGCTCATGGGTATCCTTCAACTCCGTCCTGATCTGCAGCGCGGTTAGGGACTGCTGTGGACAAGGCAATGAAAGCATTATGAAAAATAGCTAGCATCCTGCGAGCAGTGCTACAAAGGGTAACACATGTGCCATATCAAATACTACTCATAATCAAGACCGCTCCCCTCCCTTGTTCCCATCAGTCTCCTCCTGGGACAGGCCAACATTACCATCAGTGCAGAGTAAGTGTAGGGGTAATGGTAGGCCAGGTAGCAGACATCCTCCCCATGAGAGAACGTGACGGTGAAGGTGAGCGTGTAGTAGGATTTTCTTTGTGTGCCTCCCGCTGCGGCTGCACTGCGGCGGTAATGGTTTCTAGAGGAAGAGAAAGAGGGGGGATAGATTGTAGTCAGCTTTTGGGTCCTCGTCTTGTGTGCTCGTGCAAGAACTGAACCGTTGGAGAGGTCTCCATCCCGAATGAGCTGTGGCGAAGCTCCAACCTCAACCGTGCATGGTGCAAACTCTAAGTGGGCCAAATTCAGATGCAGCTGACCCAGTATGCAACATTGCGCCACTGAACAGTCTCCACCATACAGCTAAAGGCCATGTTACAGCAGGTAGGTGAGAGGCTGGGGGGAAGCAGCAGATATGGAGACACAGGCAACACGGTGACGGTTAGTGCCAGCACGCACAGCTGGATTCAAGCAAGTTACTTGGAATCCAACGGTCAGAGCGGGCCAGGGGGGAGCAGTGAGTTAGAGGCCGAGCAGCTGGTGGCAGCACTGGGCATAGTTTGACCCTGCCAGTCCTGTGCCTGGGGGGCTGGGCTGCCTTGTGGGAAGATAACAGTTCATCTAGTGTGGGAAGATGGCGCCAGCAGGGGATGGGTGGATGGGAAGAGGCTGTCTAAGAGGACTTGAAGATTTTGGAGGAGTAGAAATTGTAGAGGTTAGGGTCCAGTCAGTGCATTGTAAGAAAGGTGGAACTGGAACAACATATAAAAGGATAGGGGAAAAGTGAGGTGAAGGGACATGGGCAAAATACTCCATATGCCATCAAAGGCACAACTTCGGATTGAGCAGAGAAGGGAGCTGGGATTGAGAGGAGTCAACACCTGAGGAAGCGGAGATGACCTCATGCAGACTTGCAACTCATCGGCCAGCCCAATCACCCCCACCAGATCCCTCCTTTTCAGTAACAAGAGCACCTGAGTCTTCAAGACTCCACAAATTTCCCTTCACATTTTCAGCACAACCTCTCTTGCAGGGGATTAACTCTAATAAAGATGTGGCTTCTGAATGGGAAGGAACATTTTCCTGCAGCACAGATGAAGAGCCAATTCATGCACTTTAGAGAGAAATATCATGGCAAATTGCACCCAGAAGTATATTTCAAACAATATTTTCCCCACATTGCACCAATTATGCTGTTGCCAAACCTTCTGATTCTGAAGGACTGTGAGGCTTTTTGACAAATGTTATCATCAATGTTGCATTAAAATGCAAAATACTGGAGAAGACCAAAAGATGCAATTTCAGCTCCTGAAATTTACAATACCAGTTTAGTTTTCTGTTGTTTTTATTCCAAGGGGTGAAGAGAGGAGATAATTATTCTTCTCAAATCCTCCAGAATAATCAGCTCTTCGTCACAAGAAACACACAGCACAAGAGCACGTTTCTTTTCAAAGCATGTGAATTTAGTGGTTACGAACACGTGAGGTGAGTGGCACTGGCTGGAGCAAGGAGTCACACAGGCAGCATTCCTGCCTTCCTGGCACAGTGAAAAGCCAATGATTTAATGCTCAGCTGACGCCCACACCCAGACGTTTCTCTCTGTTATTTTCAAACAAAAAACAGGTAATAAATAATTTTAAATATTAGAGTGAAATCCTGACTCAGTTCCAAGTCAATGGATTTGATTTCAGTGGGGCCAGGATTTCACCCCCATTTTCTTAAAAATCAAGACAACAACATATCACCTTCTCTTCCAGTGAATCTGGATAATGGGGGGGGGGGCGGGGTCAGGAGTCATCTCTTGTGTGATTTACGTGGATAGGACGTATCCTCCAGATCTCTATTCTATTCATTTTTACTTTCACAGTCACAATAACCTCAGACTCAAGATGCTGTCACAAACCCTGAGATTTTCTGAGACAGTCCTGAGACATCCCCTGCAGGTCACTGGTGAGAGGTGAGATGGGGGTGGCATGTTGAGTGTTATCCAGTATTCTGCCATACAGTTCTGCCAATGCATTTTCAGTCCTGAGTTTCCCCTCCACCAACTCCCATAGCTCTACCAATGCAGCTCAGTCCTGACCTATTAGTATCCTATTAGTCCATCACCACCACACAGCTCTGACACTAGTGGAATCCTGGCATTTAGCTATTCCAGTTCTGATGACCCTCAGTGCTGATCTGCAGCACCCGCTGCTATACCAGCAAAGGGTCTCCCCTGAACAGGGATTTCTAATCCGTTCTCTTTCGACTCACTTCTCAGAACTTATCTCTACTCCAATGCCTACAGCAAACAACCTAGTGATAATGACAAGTCTACATGGCTAGTGACCCCCGGGGGTTTTATTCATCATTACTGATTCATAAAAAAAGTGACCTAGGCATGTAGCTTGCTGACACATCCCTGTGTTCCTATTGCTGATAGTCATGGCTTCCAGCACACCCACCTGTTATGTCCTGGCCTTATTTAGCTTGTAAATACCTTGGGGTTAGAACTGTCTTTCTCTGTATAATTGTACAGCACCCAGGACAATCCTGGTTGGGGTCCCCGAACACTGCTAGAATACAAACAATCAATAATAATCTTACTAAATTATGCCCAAATGTGATGTGATATTAGGATGGGTCACGTGACAAGTCCACTAAATATATTTTCACATTTGATCTGTCTGATCCCCCGAGGTGGAAAAGATCACGCATTCACCCACAGCAACCTCTGGTCCCCGCAACCTCATTTATCCTCTCTTCCCAAAATGTGCCCAAAGCTCTGCACTCTTTCCAGAAGCTAACCAACTGGTTCTTAGAAAGGATATGCAAGACCCAGTGATGGCTTTATCAGCATGAAAGCTACATCTGCTGTGCCTTTGAGTCACTTTATAATAGTCAAATCATAAAGCTTGCTGCTGTCCTTCAAATCTACTGTGTACCAAGCAGTTTACCTCTAACAGCAGCTACTGCAAGTTAATTAACAATTATAATAATACTTATCACTTACTGTGTAAAGCACTTGTCATGTTCAAAGCCCTTTGCCAACATTAGTTAATAAAAACTCACAAACTCCTTATCTGCTAACATTCTTTGGGAACCTACAAGGTAGATAAATCAGTATAATTTTCCTCATATTACAAGTGGGGAACTGAGACAGAGAGGTGAAGAGACTTGCCCAAAGCCATGGAGTGAGTCAGTAGCAGAGCTGAGATAAGAACTCAGGAGTTCAAAGGCTCCAAGCCAGGCAGCAGCCGTGTGACTCACTCTAATGGCCTTTTGACTCCCTTAACCACCTGCAGCATTTGACCAATAGCATTGGGAAAAGTGATAAATGGAATATGGTGGGGTATCAGCTTAGACTAAAGTAGTAGAGGAAAATTCATATATACCGTAACTTTAGGCCCACTGGAAAATGGGGCCTAATATAAAGATGAAATATTTACCATTTCTCTATTCTGTCCCTCCCCAAAGGACCCCCTTTGTCCTGCTACCTTTTAACCCCATTGGGATCTAACCATGTTTTTCTCCCCACATGGACCTATTCTTAGGCTTCCAGTGTGGTAGGTGTATGTGACACACACTCTTTTAGCAAACACAGGAAACAGAGGGTGCCTGAGTCTGTATGGTGGAAAAAACTGTAACAAAAACCAGACAGCAGGAGATGGCTGGTATTATTGGGTCTGGTAAATGGTGGCTGGACGGAACACGATGCAGTGGAGCTCCCTTTCCAAGGACCAGACCCTGTGTGGGTATTCTAATTTTTGAGTCTCTACTTAGAATCTGTTGAAAGCAGCAGTGCCCCCTAGTGACTGAAAGGGACCATTCTTGTGGTCAAATGGCTAGTAGGGTCCATGCCCACTTACCACCGCATCAATGTCTTAACTCTGGCTAGCCAAGACGACCCTTAGGACTGAAAGGGGAGATGCCATTCCATGCCATATTTAAGCATTGACTTCTTTCCTGGAAATTAACAAGACCAGATAGCACTGACTGTGATGGTAATTTTTATAGTGTGAACACAGGGTCCCTGGAAAGAGAGGTGAAACCCTCTCTCTGACATCACAAAGGCCCCCAAAACACCTATCAGATGGGAATTAATAAGTGATTAGTGACCCGGGCAGGATTCCAACTGGTGGGCTAGAGACAAACTGCTTCATACCCCATTACCAACCCTCTGAGGCATCCAATGCCCAGAAAAGTTGTGGTTTAGACAATGAGCTGAAAACAAACTCTGGAACTGAATGCCCAAGTGCATTCTCACCAATTCAATATGCTGACATTTTCCTTAAATAATTTGCTGGAAAGGAATATTATTTTGTGTGTTAACATAAACACCTGCCAAAACGACAACTGAATTAGACAATTTTATAATAACCGTGACTATTTATCACGGGTGTATCCTGGCACTTCACACAGGGAAGCAATAAAACAGAGCAGCCATGTCACGGAAATTCCTTTTGACAGCTGAGTTGCTAATATTCTCCATAACATAAAATCTCTCTCAAGAGATGTATGGGAAAGGTATATAATGGCAGAGCGGTGCTACGACATCCATCTTCATGAGTGAGCTCTCCCATCTCCCCTCACCAGTGAAGATGAATGTCAGGAGAGATCGGCCGGCATGTATTACACAGACAACCCATGTATGCGCCTCTCCTCCCGCTGTCCTTCAGCTCAGAGGCTGCTTTAGATCTGAGCTGTGGAAGATCAGAAATGATGGGAATTTGTGGGTGAATGGGCATGTTAACCTCACTGAGTTTCCCCTTACTTATGCATTCAAGGTCTGGGGTCACAGCTAACATTCCTCCAGGCAAGGAGAGTTGGATGAGGCTTCCTCCAGAACCCATCGCCAGCATAAGCAAAGCGCTGGGGGAGGATACAGGGCTCTTCCACCAAAACACACTGAGCATGCTGTCTTCATAGTGCTCCCATCTTCAACCAGCCTGGGGAACCACAGACTCTGATTGCTCCTAGATGTAACTATTTGCTGCCTACAGACTGGTACACTACAAGCTCCAATGATTAGGGAGTTGCTCTGTCATTGGTGAAAGAACAAGAGGTGTGTGTTAACCTAGAAAGAACAACAGATTGATAGATGGCAATATAAAAATCTATTGACATATAACTGAATGTACAATTGAAAGACACCGCATACTCCAAAAAAACCCCAATCCTATGCTAATGTCTCCACCATATCCCGGTCCAGGATATGATTAAGAATTTAATTGCACACTCATGGCTTAACTTTACCAGTCAGCTGTTATTGAATCACCACACAATAACTGCCTTGTTAATGACATTAGGAGCCATTACTATCGGAATCAGCATATAAGCATTGCAAGTCCTGCATCTGCTGGTGCCTATTCTGCCTGCACCCATGAGCCCATGCACAGAAGCCAAAGGCTACAGGCCTAGAGCAGCATCTAACACAATGGGGCCCCCACTCTTGGTTGGCCCTTAGTCACTACCATAGAAAACATGATTACTAATAAAAATGAAGGTATGTGGGGGCCAGCTGTCCAATAGTAGCACATAAGCTTCTGAGGGGACAGTCTCAGGAGTAGAGGTTAGCTGGACAAAGATGAGTGTGGGGACATTATTTGGGCAAGGTAAATGGTTATTTGAGTTGTTACTGACAAGGCACCCATTAGAGGTAAGAGAACCATGACCCTTGACCCCCAAGCAAGCTTTATTTAGGGAGTTTGGATTTGTTTTCACAGAGAACTGGAAGGTTTTTTTACTCCTGTCATGACATAAGTTTGGGGCTCTGTGTTTCTCCTGCAAGGCGATAACATCACAGTAAATGCACCTGGCAGTGTTTGGATTGATTGTGATGTCGTGCATGCGAGTGAGAACAACGTTTAACCCTCTAGGCCAAATGTACAAACAACAGCAAAAAGCAAAACAAAACCCAGTTTATTTTGCAAGGAGAAATGCATTAATTCTACCCGGGGTTCTACAAGCCCCTAAACCACACGGCCATGTGTGGATGAGACTGCCCTTTACTGTGACACATGTGGTCCATTAGCAGGGAGTGAAATGGAACACAGGTTCATTTGAACAAGTAGAACTTCATTAAACCCCGTGCACTGCTCTGTCCATGTGGGTGAATTCCTTCCAGCCTAACTCCCTGCATTCCTGGTTTCCCATCAATAACAGTCCCTCCAGGGAACATGGGCCCTCTTCCTCCAGTTCTACTGATCATGATACATCTTCCCTATTTTACAAACATTTTAATATACACATTAAAGAACAATAATTGATGCCCAGACCATCACCCCATGTCCCTTTGTCCAGAGGTTGCTATAGGGTTGCCAATTTCAGTTGGACGTACTCCTGGGGGTTTCATCACATGACATGATCTTTAATTAAAGTTTAATCTTTAATTCCTGGAGAGGGTTGGCAACTCTGGGTTGCTAGCCCATAGCAGAGTTGGAGTCTTATCTTTACCACAGACTCAGCTGGTTACATAGTCTTTAAGATCGTTTGGTCTCCTCAATGGATGACCACAATGGGAGTGACCTATCCCTGTCTCCCTATCTAGAAAACCATCTCTCTGTAAAGTCTCCTTCCTTCGTGTGGGGTTGGCCTCTGGATGGTTCTCTGTCTCTCTGTTCTGTGACTCTCTCTCTGTAGGTTCTATCTAGATTTTGTGTCTGCTCGCTCGTTAAGTATCTCCTCGTCCTTCAGATCACTTCTTTCTTGCACAGTCGCCTCATGTGAGCTGGGTGCCAGTGCAGCCCTCACTACACCTTTAGTCTACTCCTTCCGGAGACTCTCTAAAGGCTGGATCCTACAGGAGTACCTGTCTTCAAGGCGGGCATGTCCTTGGCTGACCTGTTGTAATCTAGTGCCTGCTTTCTCTGATCGTTGGCCCTGTTTTTTCTACCGACGAAGCAGAGTGTAAAGGCAATGCCACAGACCCAGTGAGCATGGCTCAGGGTGCAGACGTGTCTGCCACCTTCAGGCAGAACTCCAAATTCATAGGTGAAGTGAGCAAAGCCACTCCCTGCTCAGGCCTTCACTGTGTGCCTGTGGGATCATTTTCATATGCCATCCTACTCTGGGAAAACTAATTTCCCTCTCATGCCAACACAGCACCGGGTGGTCACTGGGACCAAGGTTAGCGGGTACAACTCATGCAGATTTAAAAAGGGTCTGTACTTGCTCAAGACAGGACTGAGTTTCACCCATACAGTACATTAATTTCTGGAGGAAATGTGGCAGTGATAGGAGAAGCAGAGCAGGGCGTTCTGCCTTCTGTGCTGACCACCACTCTGAAACACCCAGATGAATCTATCTGAAATCACAGCTCACCCTTTGGCAAGGAGAACGGGTGACTAAAACTCTGTTAACCCTGTGTGTGCTGCATTCAATTTGGCACACCAATGATACAAGTTGGGGATGGAAAAGAAAAACAGGTAGGCTGCCCAGTCCACCTCTTTGCCAATCACTGGTGCAGGGCTTTAAAACTATTTGGGTACCACTCCTTTGTGCTTCTGTGTACTCATGAAGAGGGCTTCATGTTGTCACCATGGTTCCCCCCTCCTCCCTTCTCCACTACCACTTTACTCCAGAAGAGAGAATTCTGCATGTATCCTCTCTCTCCCCTGCATACCAACTAACAGGGTCTCACTCAAATCCAATCCCTGCTGTCGGAAGTGCATAAATTTATTGTGTGTGAGAAATGGGGCACTGGCAGCTGAAGGTTAATGACATGAATACGGTTAGCAGGAGGGGAAGGGAAGCCAAAAGGAATGCACCAATGAAACACTTACTTGTAGTAACAGATATCAGAGCCCACCCGAATCCAGTGAGGCCTGCCTTGGAGAGCTTCCTTCACTGAATACATGACCGGCTGCATGCCTACATAAAACAAAGGCAGTTTCAGGTGACATGACTTCCTTTGCGTGAATGTGCATGCTCTTTGCAGCTCTTTTACCAAAAGCAGATACACTTTTCCCACATCCCACACTTGAGATTTCAAAGCAGCCAACTCTCTATAGAAAATTATGGAGAGGGGAAGCCAGCTACAGGGAAATGAGTAGTAAATGGATCAGCCGTACTGGCTTTTCCAAGGTGAGAGATTCCAAGCAACTCTGCTTATGCAGGGACTGAGGAAGGGAAAGAGGAGGAAAAGAAGAACATAAGAATCAGTACACTGGACAGACATATAGTGTGGTTAGACAACTATCCCGTCCCCTGTCCCACTGGAATACATCAATAGCCACCTCCTGCCATAATGGAAGCAACCAATGGACGGTGCATCTAGCTTAATACTTTTTGCTAACCTCAGCTAATATTGGATGCTTCATAAGAAGGTATTAAACCTCCCATAAGAACATACAGAGCTGGGTGCCCTAAAAATGCTTATAACAATAATATCCCTCATTGGACTGTATGATACTAGGGGGGCAACTTCCTCCTGACCTGCACCATGTTATCACCTTATGCCCTGAAGAGAAACTATGCAAACATTATCCACAGTTGCATGAGTCCAGCTCCTTTGCAGGAAGATTTTTATCCACTGAGACATGTGTATACAATTTATTTGCTCTACATGGATCCCCCCTTCTACACTTAGGGCAAGCTTCTTGTCCTCATCTTTGACAATCTCCATAGCGCCTTCCCCATCTATTTCTTTCCCTTCCTCTCTTTCTGCTGCCTGTGTCTCCTTCATCCAGTCCAATTTACTGTCTTTCTCTAGGCTGCTCATTACATTTAGTCCATGATGTCGATGTGTGCTAATATCTAAGATGTATAGGATACTCCTTGGTGTCATTAATGTTGGGGGCTTACTTGCGTCACACACAAAGAAAGGGTTATAAAATCACAGCATATTGCCTCCTCCCTTTGGATTTCTTTGGTGTAACTCAGGGGTCGGCAACGTTCGGCACGCAGCTCGCTGTCCCGGGCCAATGGGGGAGGCGAGAAGCGGCGCGGGCGAGCGATGTGCTGGCCGCGGCTTCTCGCCACCCCCATTGGCCCAGGACGGCGGACCGCGGCCAGTGGGGGCCACGATTGGCCGAACCTGCCGCGTCAGCAGGTAAATAAAACTGGCCCGGCCCGCCAGGGTGCTTACCCTGGCGAGCTGCGTGCCGAACGTTGCCAACCTCTGGTGTAACTCATCATCACTTAAACAGCTGCGGAGTACATCTCTGAGCAGACACAGGATTGTCCCATACCTCAACAGGAAGGTAACATGGAAAGAACTTCAAATACAAACTCAATCACATCACGGATTAACCTTTCCATTTTTGCTTCATGTATCCACATGGGAGCTGGAACAATTTTTACAGTGGGGGTGCTGAGAGCCATTGATCCAAACTGTAAACCCTGTATATAATGGAAACCACTTCAAGCCAGGGGGTGCTGCAGCACCCTCAGCACCCCTAGTTCCAGCACCTATATGTATCCATGCAGTGCTTCTGCATGGATCAGCTAACAGAGGGGACACCATGGTGCATCATGGGAGATATATACCTATCCAGGAGACTGGTCTTTCAGAGACAATGAGGACATGAGGTACCAGAACTACAACTCCCATGAAGCACCACAGCATCACAGCAGGACATCGTTTAATATTAAACTATCTCAAAACAAAACTTTACAATTCACTTAGACAAACCAAAATATTTTGTTTCCATTTCCTCAATGGAAAAGTCTAGTTTTCAGCCACACTGTTCAGTTTTTTGACAAAAATTCAACATTTTCTATGGGGAAAGAAATCCATTTTCTGACCAGCTCTGCTGCTGACTACAACTGCTCCTTGAGTCGTTCTTTCACCGATATGAAAATTACACAGCACCATCTATCTGACAGGGAGATCAGAAGGACAGCCACAGTACACAGCCAACCCATGTTATAGCACATTGTCACCCATGCCACTTTTGCACAGGATCAGGACTTGAAACGTCCAGCTCAGTGAGGTGAATGGTAGCACTGGTAAGTGAATGGAGCAGCAAGTAGCATATTTTCTCATATGCAGAAGTCAATGTCATGCATGCTGCTAACAGTGCTGTGGGCCTCACTCCACCCAGATAGCTAGAGTTTCAATGCATTTTCAATGCATCAGAAGCAACGGACAAGAATTTCCCCAACACGCAATCACACACACACTGACCCCAGACCACACAATAGCTGGCCCTGGGGCTAGCCTCCCAACACAGGATATTATTTTCACATTTTTCTTTCAAACATATTTTGACATTATGCACATTTTAATTGCACATTTTAAAATTTGATTCCTGTCCACTGAAAGCTCACGAAAGTGAGGGGCTAATAAGTGCTGGCTACGATCAGAGAAGCAGATGCCGGAGAACCTTCCACCAGTAAGGGCCTGAGTCTACCCTACTGAAGCTACCCCATAAGGTATATCATTGAGAGCTACTCTATAGGTTTCAAGAGGTACCATATCAGCCTCTGACATTCCCTTTGCCACTCCTCCTCAGTGTACTTCACTCTCAGGCCATTAAGAGAATTACCCAGTCATGCCGAACTGTTTGGTGATTCAGGAAAGTGGAATAGCACGACAATACCAATTCATTTTCATTTGTGATCTATTTCAGTACTTGAACTCTGGTCCTTAGGGCAAATGATTTAAAATGAACTGCACCACTCAGCAAGCATTCTTGCAACTGTAACAGCAAGCCATTCTCAGGGCAGGTCTACACCTAAAAGGCTGCATCAGTGCTGCTGTAGCGTGTTAAAGAAGACGCTCTATGCCAACAGGAAAGCTCTCCTGTCGGCATAGTTAATCCACCTCCACAAGAGGCAGTAGCTATGTTAGCGGGAGAAGCTCTGGTCATTATAGGTCAGTATAACTATGTCCCTCAGGGGTGTACATTTTTCACACCTCTGAGCAACGTAGTTATACCGAAGTAATTCTGTAGCATAGACCTGCCCTAAGTCCCTTTGCTATTTGTTGTGGATACACTGCTCCTGAGGCAGTTCCCTTGTTGATTTGTGCAGATGTATCCACAAAGCTATAGAGGGAAGTAGTGTTTGACATGGTGCACTTATTAAACATTCTGGGCCAGATCCTCAGCTGGTGTAAATTAACATAGCTTCATGGAAAGCAATGGTTGGTGCTAACGCCAAACTACGCCAGCTGAGGATTCGACACACAGTCTGTATGTAAAAGAAACAATTTCTCTTCTAAAATGGGCATTGAAAGCTCTGATTTGCCTGCCTGTTTTATGGCATCACATCCTTCCTCCTGAACCACAGACTGCAACTGGAGCTCAAAAATAGAGACAGAATCTTTTATTATTAATGTTGGCAGAAACCTCAGAAGGTCTGGATGTGGATTTTAATTTCTTAATAAGCCTCCTAAACTGTGGATGCTTATTTGAAGATTAGCCAAATTTATTCAAACCTTATGAGATTTCTCCACTTCTGCACCACTCATTCAGCCCAAATAGATCCTCCTCCTTTCCCCCACAGTCCCATTTTTAAATATCCCAGTCTCCAAACTCCTGCTCTTCAATTCCAAATCCCTCTTCCCATCCCTAAGTGCCCTTGAGGAGACAGAGAGAGAACTCCTTTTGAGGCCTTGTAGTGACCCCTTCTGGCTGATTTCAAAGCAGCTGCTGTGCGCCAAAGAGGGACCCCACCCAGCTCTACTAATTCAGAAGGTGGACCTAGCAGTAGAGGATGAGATGACAGGAGACCTTAGCTGCTAGGAAATTGGTAGTAGGAGTGGAGGGTGGGAATGGAACCCATGTTAATTATGTGGATGGGAAGGAGAGAAAGGAAGAGGAGTAAGAAGGTATTATACCCTGAAAGCCCCCAGATTCACACCCCTGCTCCATGGTTCAGAAGGCACCCTATGACTAAGTAAGCAAGCCATGACCTATGGGACTCTAACAGACACAAGAAGGTTGAAGCCCCCATGGAATCAATAGCATAGCCCTGTGCATGGGAGGGAACCCCAGCCCACCCAAAGGCTCATACCGTAATTAAACTGGCTGTTGACCTTCTCGCAGTTGATGATGTTAAAGCGGTAGGGAACGGCTGGCTTCATGGTGCTGACTTCAAAGTAAAACCACTGGTGGTGCTGGACGGTGTTCACATCGGTGTTCATAATCAAATCATACTCAAATCTGGAGAGCAAGGCGTGAGATGGTGTCACCATGGGCCAGGCAGAATGACAGGGTGGGATGCAACGAACCCACGGCTGCAGCTACCTCATACAAACACTACAGCTGTCAGCCACTGGTGACAATGGGAGCGGGTGCGACTGAGACCACCAATGACAGGGGGAGCCACAGGATGCCATCGAAGCCAATATTAGCCACCGCACTCGTGTCCTACCCTAGCACAGCATCACGTCTTTCAAGCCTTGGTTTCTCACTTCCTTTAACTTCACACCACCTAATACCTGTGATTCATAAGCTCTGCTCCCCTTGCTGATTGTTCTAAAGTCCACGGTGCTTCACCTTTTCACACAGTAGACATTACAAGTGTGGCCAGATAGGACACAGCCACTGCTGAGACCTAAGCTACTTACTTGCGCACTTGGGTGGCTTTGCGGAGGTTTCCTGATTCAAACTTGGAGTAGAATCTCAGGCAGTCTGGAGGAGCATCTGTGCTTGAGGGGCTGGAGCAAAACACAGAAATATGTCTACTACCAAAAATTACCTTAAGGAGCAGTAACCACTCCAATATAATTTATATAGCAATTTAGACTTACAAACAGAAGACATTTAAGAGCAGCTATGGCCCAGCCATCCAGCTCAAAGCACCAGCCTTTATGGGGTAATTCTAAATTCCACTTTCTTCCCCCTCTCGATTTTCCTATCTGCAGGAACAGATCCATACACTCCTCAATCTCAGTTAGGTTCTTTGTTCCAATCACCTTCCCCATTAACTTATTCCACAGGTTTATTATCCTTTGTGTGAACTTGGCTCTGCCCAAGTTCTCCATTTACTCCTCCCATTTTTACCTTTTGCCCCCCTAAATTTTGGAGCCTTTAAAAGTATCTTGAGCAATTTTAAAAATCTCTCTCCTTCTTCTTCAAAACCCCGCCAGGTCACCTCAAACTCTCCTGCGTCCTGTGTTCCTCAGAGGACAATCTCAGACCCATTAGCCCTTTCCTCAGAATGTACTTGCTTCAGATTTGAGCTCCTCTCCATTGCCCTGTGCTGCCTCTTCTCAAGGGCAATAATGATTTGCCAGGAAATGGTGCCCAGCCTGGTTCAGAGTACCCAAGATGGGTCTCACAGCTGCCTTACTGCACAGCATCATGGTACTACCCCTTTTAGTTTTAGGTTCCATTGCTCTGCTAAAACCACCCAGTATCTGGTTTGCTTTTCCTACTGCCGCTGTGCACTGGGCTGGTGGTTTCAGGGACTCTTCCACAATAGCCTACAGATCCTTTCCCTCAGCCATGTGCTGAGAGACACTGGGAAGGGGTGTTTACCTCACACTTGCCCCAAAAAGGTTAATGTGGATAGAAAAGGGGGCTAATTAACCCAACAAGTGACAGCTGAGGGGAATCAGGTGGCTAACTAATCCCCTGAGGGAGGAAGGGTGCCAAGCCAAAGGGGAACAAGCTGGGCTGGGATTTATAAACACAGGAAATTGGAAGCTGAGGGGGCTGCTGAGAAATAGGTTACTGTCATTCCCTGGGAGGAGTGTTTGGAGGCTGCAGAAAAACGGAGCTTGTATTTGCTCCCTAGGAGGAGGGAATGGTGACAAACCTCAGGGGAGGTGGAGTGCCAGACGGTAAGGAAAGGGCTCAGGGAAAGGCAGCAAGGTCCAAGAGGGAGCAGACCTTGACTGCTGGCTAGAGGGCCCCTGAGCCGGAACCCAGAGTAGAGGGCGGGCCCAGGTTCCCCTGCCAGCCACTGAGGGAGTGAATGGGAAGGCTCGGATGGCTGAAGGAAGACTTTGGTACTCCGGAAGGGGAAAATGCGTATTGTAACCTGGTCGGAGGGCTGAATCATGAAGAGGTGGCAGTGGCAGCAGCAGCTCATTGAGCAAGAGAAGAGCTGCTGCAGACCCAGCGAGAGAGGCAGAGAGACAGCATGCAACTGCAAGAAGGGGCATCGACCTCGCAAAGCTAATCCCCAGAACGGCCATGAGGAGGCGCCACCCTGGCTGTGAGTGGCGCACCCCGTCACAAAACCTCGTTCCTTACACTGGATCCTATCCACCAGTCTAATGTTTTGCACATTTGTCTAAGTTGAATCAAATGCACCATCTGCTGGCCTTGTCACCTAATCTATTACTGATAGTAACAGTAGTGCCCTCAGTCCCGTACACGACAAGGAAGACCTACCTGCGCCCATCTAAATCAAAGACAACTCTGTCTATCACATCACCTGGCTGGATTAGACGGCAAACATCCTCAAATATTTTGGCCCTGGAAAAGAAAAACAAATTGTGAGTCTGTCTGCAGCCACAGGCAGACACATACCTCTGTCTTGGAGGATCCTTGCTGAGGAAGTGAACTGAGGCTTAGGATATTCTTTCCAGGAGGTTGGGGAGAAGGGGGATTCCTGTGCAGAATTATACACCTGAACTAACTAAACAAAAATATCCCTTAGCACTTTTTGTCGTTCACCAGTTTGGCTTTTGCATGACTCTCATGACTGGAAGACACCTTTAGAGTTAAATGACTTGTCATTCACATTCTGTAGGATTTATCTCCATTTCTTCTCATTCCGTCTCAGTGAATGAGTCACGTACACCTAGCAATGGAGAATTTGTCACAAGGGATCATACTATTGGTCTATTATTACAGACTCCTGGCTCCAACAGTGGCTAATGAGCCCATCCAACCCCCCCAGTAACAACCAGTTGTACGATGCCATATGTGTTCTCGAGATTTCCTTCCTGACCTTTGCAGCAATCTACTTAAACACTGAAGCATGACATGATTATCCCTGTCTTCGCTGTATAGTTACATATGTTGTTATGGTCATAAAAGCGGGGCTTTTAGAACATTAGTGCAGGGAAGAGGTGAGAGAATGACGGCCTCTGTGAATAAGATTCCAGGCATTTAGCTGCAACAGGAAGAGTTCCCATCTCTATAGAGCACAGAGGTTCAAAATAGCTCAGAAACTTATGGCCTTGGTAAATGCCATGTTATTAGTATCAATCAGTCCTAGAGCTTAGTTCAAGAGACAGCAGAATCACCCAGCCTGTTTGCAGTCTGGTAAGCATTGCTTGTGCTACTAAGAACAAATGCCCTCTAAAGGAATTGCAGAGGGACATGCATGGGGCAGGAAGGGGGAGGGTAGCCCTGAGAAGAATCCCCTCTCCCAACACAGGTCCCCCCACACTCCAACACACAATGTATCCTCCTCAGTTGAACATAAGAACATAAACATAAGAACATAAGAATGGCCCTACTGGGTCAGACCAAAGGTCCATCTAGCCCAATATCCTGGCTTCCGACAGTGGCCAGTGCCAGGTGCCCAAGAGGGAATGAACAGAACATGTAATCATCAAGTGATCCATTCCCCTGTCGCTCATTCCCAGCTTCTGGCAAACAGAGGTTAGGGACACCATTCCTGCCCATCCTGGCTAATAGCCATTGATGGACCTATCCTCCATGAATTTATCTAGTTCTTTTTGAACCCTGTTATGGTCTTGGACTTCACAACATCCTCTGGCAAGGAGTTCCACAGGTTGACTATGTGTTGTGTGAAGAAATACTTCCTTTTATTTGTTTGAAACCTGCTGCCTATTAATTTCATTTGGTGACCCCTAGTTCTTGTGTTCTGAGAAGTAATAAACAACACTTCCTTATCTACTGTAACCCCTTTGGGGTTTAAAAAGCATGGCCCCTTTAAATCTTTTTCCTAGGGGCAAGGGGGAGCAGTAAAAACAAGGAGGGAAACTTGGGGGTGTGGCTCTGGAGCTCTGGGGGAGAGAAGGGCTGCACCTCGCAGGCCCTCACAACGTGAAGCAGCAAAGAACCTGCCTGAAGCCTGGGAAGAACGGACGATCAGGGACCCCCAAGGACAGAAGCCAGGAGGAGCAGTGTGCCAGGGAGGAATCGCTCAAAAAGAACAGGCCAAAGCGGGACCCAGTATCACTGCTGCCCAGAGCTGCATGGGGCTGTGAGTACTGGGGCTTGTAACTCTGCATTAAAAATAAGGAGGGAGGTTGCTAGCTAGTTAAGTGGGGAGGTGGTCGCTCTGTGTGGCTTTGCAAAGAGCAGCAGAAAAGGACACCGGAGGGGTTTGTTGGAAAAAGTTCACTGGCGCTGAAGATGACCAGGAGCAACGAACACTCACCACTGGACTGAAACTCTGTGTGCAGACACATTGCTCAGTGTCTGCCCTTCCAGACTGTGCTACCACTGGGCCTGTGGGGCCTTGGTTTGAATGCAACCCTGTTCTACTGCTCCCCCTATATTTCCCCTTGTTGTTTTTCTCCTCTCATCCCTCTGTAAATAAATATCCCCATTTGTTATATCCATCGTACTTTTCCTGTGGGTGTGTGTGTTCACTCTGGAGGGTTTGGAACAAGTGCCCCTGGGGTGGAAGGGATTTTTCCTGCTGCATTCCTGTGCGCGCCTTCTCTTGGCCAGTGCTGCCTGCAGAGCAGACTCCATCTTGGTCATGGGGGCGCTAAAGTTACACTACTTTCTTACAATGTAAATGAGGTGGGAGCATTAATGCTAATTGCCAGGTGCACAATGCCTTCCATGGGAGGATCCCAACACACTTCACAAATATTTAATTACTTCAGCAGGGGAGGCAGAGATGTATTTATTCACCTTTACCTTCCAGATAAGGAAAGTGGAGAGGTGACATGACTTGGCCACTGGCAAAGGCGGGAACTAGGCCTCCTAACTCCCCATCTGTGCCAAGAAAATCTTAGATGCCAGTGTCTTCAACCTCGAGAAAAATCTGAATAGTATAAGCCTATAGCTCAGTTTCCCTTCTTGTAATAATTCATTGTGTGGGTCTCCGCGAGGACAGCAGAGACCTATGAAACTTGATACAGAAGTGATGATCAACACCCATCAAAAGCCAGGCAGTAAGACATGAGAGTCCCCAATACTACAAGAAGTGAGTCCCTATTTGCCCAGCTGCGGAGAGCTACCGCTGGGATGACAATAAAGCAGAATCACCTTTGAACTCCATATTTCCGCTCCAGCAGGGACTGGTAATAAGGAGGGGGCTGGTGGCCCCAAAAATCAGGGAACGCCAAGACCCTATAGTCCGGAATGGACTTGGTGCTTCCAGCCCTGGCCATGTAGAAGTGGGGGCTGTGGAATGGGATATCCCCTTGGTGTCTCTCCAGAAGCTTTGTTACTGTGTTTGAGGCTCCCACTCCCCCCACAGGGCTGGGACCAAAGCAGCTCGCACAGTGAGTGTGAAATGTTCTTGTGTCCCAGGAGGCTTCTTTTAGGGGAGGATGCAGAGTGGGCGCATGGCTCCTGCATGGATCTTCTCTTTCACCAAGAGCATCTGCATCTCGGACTGATTCTCCCATCGCTCGCTTTTCAAGGGCTGGAGCCCCAGTGCATTTCTCCTTCTTTGCCCAGCTCTGCACTGGAGTCTTGAACGCCGTTTCCTCTGGCTCTGGCCCCATGGCACTTTGGTCCCTGTGTCTGCAACGCTGCTGCTTCATGAAAGCAGCATTTGGAATGACTGGGAGGTGAGTGCCTGGCAGGCTCCCAAGCATATCCTCAGAGCCCTTCTCATCTTCAGACCCTGTTTCCAGCTCCTTTAGATTTAAAGAATAAAAGAAAGAAAAGAAATAAAGACAGATGGTGTCTCCTTCCAGAAGGAAATAGAAGAAAGAAAAGGGAAAACATTTAATTTACAGGCCTTCTAAAAATCTGCTCGCCTCAGTGACCCAAAGAGATAGAAACCCACAACCCACCTGCCAGCATTCCTATTCCCGCAAGCTGATCTCTCATCAGTTCCCAGAAGCTAAACAAGGTCAGGCTGGATCAGCTGCTGGCTGGGTAACCTCCAAGCAAAACCTGGAGCGTTACAGGAAATTGCAGGAGGCAAAGTGATGCGCTTCTCTTTGAACTGATGCTCTAGCATGATGCAATGGGGCCAGTCTGCCAGGCAAAGGTCCACCATTCCTAAATACAGGACTGCAATGTTAATCCAAGTTCCTGGCCACTTGCAGTCATTACAAATACCACCGCATTTTGTACGGTAGGAAACGCATGAACCCTGGTGTCTTGTTTAAATTTGAATAATTATATTCTGTCTCCCTAAATTCCTCTGCCTCTAGTACTGAGTACAATATTCTTCTTCACTTCCTGTCCCAAACTGTTCAACAGCTGGGTTGATCTACCCCAGAACTGTCTGCATTTTAAGCAGTGCCAATGTAAGCTTCCCCATGACTGTGCTTCAACCTGATCTTGACTGAGCAGCGCTAGGATAGACAAACCAGTTTAATTTCCATGTTCCACTTGGTTCATGGCATCTCCGTTGAAACTGCCAACAAGGATACAACTTAATGTCTATTAGTGGATGTGGATTTTTTCTCATGTGGATATTTATTTATTTATCCACTGGGCCCTAGTCAGCTGAGACTCAGCCTTTTCGTTAAATGCCAACAAACAGCTCTCAGATGTTAACACCTTTCACCCACTACCAGCTGGGGCCGCATTCAACCCAACAAGCTCCAGGTGCGTCTACATTTTGGATCCTCTGATACCTTGAGTTATCTGGTGCTCCCCTTTGCAGTATGTCTTTCTGCCCACCTCCTCTCAGTCAGCACCTCCAGTACTGCACATCCCTACACGCGTTCACAGATAAAGGAAGCCACAATGTTATCCTACCTGGAAAGTAAGGGAAAGTTCAGGACACATTGCCTCATATTGCTCAAGCTCCTCCTCTGGCCTGTCAAGGCCTGGCTTTGAGCTCAGTTTGTTCACATCTGTCTCCAAATCATCGTCCTTCAAAAGTCAAAGTAGGAAAACAAATAAATTAAAGGTGCTATCGACCCATTTGGGACTGTCCCTGAGTTGATAGTTATAAAACGATACATTACATCCTGCCTTTCATCTGGGAATCTCTAAGCACCTGACACACGTGAAGCAAACCAGCCACCCCTGACAACTAGATGAGAGCAATTAAATTCATTTTTATGGAAGGGCAAACAGAGGCACAAAAGGTTAGGTCACCTGCCCACAGCCATAGAACGATCCACTGGCATGTAACTCAGAAGTCCAGGACAAGATTTTCAAAAGTGAGTAGTGAACAGTGGGGCACCCAAACCCAAGTACCCAAGCTGAGACACCTTATAGGGGCCTGATTTTCAGAAAGTGCTGAGACCCACCCTCTGAAAATCACGCCCATTTAAAGGTGTCTCAACTTGGCCACCCAAAAATTGTGGCATCCAAAGCCACTGGCCAGTCTCCTGAGTATCCAGGATGTGCTGATGGAACCTGCAGATGTGCTGCCTCAGGTGTTGAATGAAGGAGTGAGAAAACACCTTTGATTCAGAGACCCAACAATCAAACAATTTGGATTTAACAAGAAAATCCCACAGTACATCACAGGAAAAATTAGTTTTGTTGATTACCAGCAAAATTAGCATCTTCTAGTGTCCTGCCTCTTCACACCAAGATTGCCTTGGTCCCCACTGCTGCTCATCAGGGCCCCCTCTCTCTGCCTTCGAAACCCAAATCCCCATCCCTCTACTACACCCATCACTGAACCCTCAAGCACCGATTTCTTATCTGTTATTTTATTTATATCTTTCTACGCTGTTGATAAATAGCTTTTAGTCTCTTGACCAATCCATCATCTGTTCATTTAAAAAAAAAATCTTTTGTGTTTGCAGTTATCTATAAAGCAAGGACAAGGATCATGCCTGAAACGTTCACATCCAAAGGCAACCGTGCATTGACATGCATCCCGTCCAGATCAGATACAAGAGTCAAAGATATGCAGTGTCAAGTGTTTAGTCATCGCGTAAGAGAATGGGAAGGGGGGGTTGGGTGGCTAAATGGCATTGATGAATGGCTGCGACATGACAGCATTATTCAAATAATTCAGCCTGCAATTAGCAAGCATTCACCACCAAACCACAGCAAAGAAGCAATCTGCTCTTGATAATAACTTCAGAAATGATTCTATTTATCAACAAACTCCCATGAACACCAGGGTGTCAACAGCAGTTCAAACCCTGAGCCACAGCGGTACTGAAAGGCTGGGCTGTTTCTACAGTGTTACTTGTGTTGATTTAAGGCAGTGGTTGGGACTGGTTGACACGAGAGTCAGTAGTGCATGTTGGAGGTTTGCTGGGCTCTTGAAGATTGGTTTGGAGGGATTGACAGTTTGGAGAATTATGTGGGATCCGTAGGGGTGGGTTTTAATGATTTGGGGAGTGGGGATGAGCTCCATGACACGACTGGATGTTCGATTGGTATGCGGACTCCGGTTTTGGTAGAGCTGATCGAATAGTTAAAGAGAGGATTCACAAATATTTTCACCAATAAAAGTGGTGTGCTAAGTTCACTATGATTAGTATTAGACATTATTCATGAATATCTGGACACCCGCCAGGTAGCTGTGAAAAAGGTTTTCAATCACAAAAGCATCAGGAACTTGAGCACAAATGATTCTTTGCACGAAAATGTGGACTGAAAGTTCACTATTCATCCTCCATCATCGATCTGTGTAAAAGTTCAGTCAGAAGACGGAGTAGCATGAGACTTATGAGACCAATCATACGAGACCAATAAATAAAACTCATATTCAAAGCAAAGTGTTGGCAAACAGCCAATAAACTAAAAACTGTTCACAACTAGTCGGTGAATCCTTATGAATAATGAACATAATTACAGATTTTAGGATGTGTTTGGGAATGAATTACTTAACAAAAAAGGGGCTAAGTTGGCAAAGAACATTATTTCTAATGAACAGTTTGGCCAGTTTTCAGATGAAAATAAATAGCCACTAAAGGGCAGGTTGGCAGACTGAGCCCATTTGTTTTCTTTCCTTTTTTGTCATTTGGGTGACATATTAATGTTCAGGTAGGCAGAGCAGGCAAACAGTGAAAAGAACACTCAACTCACGTCTAAATTGCGTCAGATCACATGGCATTTGTGCCCTTTTGAATTTGATTACCACAAACATTTGTAGGAACAAGGTTTTGTTTGCAAAGATGTTTGAGAGGGCGAAAACTCATTCATGCTAGAATGTGTGTTTGTACAAAGATGCATTTTCACAGCAGAAACATTTGCATGTTTAAGCAGCGTCTGAATGAATTTTCCCCTGACAGCTAGTTTGGGAGCGGGAGAGACTTCAGGAGCAAACTGAATATACATGAATACACTACTCTGCATAGGTATCTAGCAGTCAGGAGTTGTGTTGCTCCAAGTGATCAGCTTTGGCTGGTGTTGGGTTACAAATCACGCCATCAGGTGGTCGAGGGACATCTACATAGAACGCATCACCCGACATCGGCAATACCAGGAGGGATGAGCTGGAGTGCCGATGAGAACCACTATCGGGAAAGCAGGGGCGGCTCTATGTATTTTGCCACCCCAAGCACGGCAGTGAGGCAGCCTTCGGCGGCACGCCTGCAGGAGGTCCGCTGGTAACGCGGATTCGGCGGCATGCCTGCGGGAGGTCCACCGGTCCCGCGCCTTCAGCGTACCCACCGCCGAATTGCCGCCGAAACCGCAGGACCGGCGGACCTCCCACAGGCATGCTGCCGAAGGCAGCCTCACTGCCACCCTCACAGCGACCGGCACGCCGCCCCCCATGGCTTGCCGCCCCAGGCACACGCTTGGTGCGCTGGTGCCTGGAGCCGCCCCTGCGGGAAAGTAACTGAAATACTTCCCTGATGGATTGTATTTTCTAAATGGACAACCTACCCTAAATGCTCAATTACTGAGGGACAATCTTCACTCATTGCTATATTTGCTTGCCACAACCAACTCTGTATAACGTTTCATGAGTGATGTACCCGAATACTTGGATGCTAATATCTAAACTGTATTCTTAAAAGTATTCACCTAAATTTAGCTTTGCTTATTATGCACTATATGTATCTTATGACTTAAAACAAACGTTGTATTTGTGGATAATCTAAGCACTATACCCAGATGTACAGACTCTCTTTTCTTAACCTCTTATTATATCATTTTTTAATATTGAATGCAGGGGTAGTGAAATGTTATTATCAATGTTGTTCTCTTCATTGTATGACTAAAGGGGAGTAGAACTGTGCTGAGCTTGTCCCAATTGAGGGGTCACCCTCAGCTGAAAGGAACTCACTAAGCCAGGGGCTCAAATGCCAGACCCCTGTGAAAGTAAGAGGGGTGGGGACAGGTGTCCCAACGAGGAGGTGTGGACTCTCCCTAAGGGGCTCTGATCTAGTTTAACCTGTTTCTCCCCACTGTTCAAAGGAGCCTTTTGTTACGTTAAAGTGCTCAAATGAGAGCTGAAATCCATTGTGGTGGGGAAGTGTTTCTGCCCGGCCTGCCAAGAGCTGAAAATCATTAAGAGACTGACCTACAGAGGTCAAAGCAGAGAGGCAGGTGGCAGTAGAAGGTGACTGACAGTCGGCCGGCAAACGAACGGCTAGCAAGCAGCTGGTGGGGCGGCCAGCAGAGACAAACAGCAGCTAGCAGAACAGCCAGGCAGCAAGGAACCACGGCTGGCGAGCCGGCCAGCAGAGAGGAACCATGGCTGGAGGGCCGACCGGCAGAGAGGAACCATGGCTGGCGGGGCAGCCAGCCAGAACAAGTGCTCAGATGGTGGCGCAAGCAAGGTGCCTTCTTCCGTGGGTTGCAGGTGAACTCACAAAGATGCACTACTGAACTCTGGATCCTCACTGACCAAGGACAACCATTGTGAGTGGGGTATGGCGCGGGCCGAGGGACGTACTGGCTGCCGCTTCCAGCAGCTCCCATTGGCCTGGAGCAGCAAACCGCGGCCAGTGGGAGCCGCGATTGGACGGACCTGCAGATGCGGCAGGTAAACAAACCGGCCAGGCCCACCAGGGGCTTTCCCTACACAAGCAGCGTCCCAAGTTTGGGAAACACTGCATTAGATGAACCTGTAAAACAGGAATCCCTGGGGGGAGGGGGAGAGGGTGTTTGAAGAGAGAACGCAGGGGACTCAGAAGAAATACAGCCAAGCCCTTTGAGCCAAGTTTACTTTGCGAAAAGAGGGAAATGTGAGGAGGGTAGGTGAAAAGAAAGGGCCAAAATCCAGGGAAGGGACTGCAGTGATATAAAGAAGTTCCCACTCTACCTGTGGTACTTATGTGGCCCCATCACCATAGTATCTGAATGCCTCACATCACAGCCCCTCGGTGAGGTACAGCAGTGCTGTTATCCCCATTGTACAGATGGGGCACTGAGGGACACACTAGGGTGGCCAGATGTCCCGATTATATAGGGACCATCCCGATATTTGGGGCTTTGTCTTATATAGGCGCCTATTACCCTCCGCTCCTTGTCCCAATTTTTCACACTTGCTGTCTAGTCACCCTAGGACACACAGACTAAAGGCCAGATTTTCAAAGGCATCTAGTGGGGAAATGTAATCCCTGAGCCAATGCATATACGATGTGTAACTCTGGATAAGATGGCTCAGATATTTAAGTATGAAGTGTATAGTTATTGACCACATATGTTATCACGTGTTCACTGTGATGTTAATATCTATGAGTGGAGGCACTGATGGCAATAGTTTTATGTGATCACCGTCTAGAAGATTTGACCCTCCAACTTTCTTTCAAGAGGAAGAGCTGCCCAGAGCTTCTGTGCTGTTTATGTTCCTTTCCTGCCTGCAGTGGCCCTGAGATACCTCAGAAGTCTCAATTTTTTCCCTCAACTTTAACACGTGGAATTTTCTTGGTGTTTGGTTTCAAATATTCTCCTGTGAAAACTGCAACTCAAGCACTGTAGTGTTGCGTTTAAGACCCTTCTGGAAAGTAACTAGCCTCTAAACAGAAGGGAGTGTTGCCAACTCGCATGATATTGTCATGAGTCTCATAATAATTATTAAAAAGCAACAGAGGGTCCTGTGGCACCTTTAAGACTAACAGAAGTATTGGGAGCATAAGCTTTCGTGGGTAAGAACCTCACTTCTTCAGATGCAAGAGAGAACGCAGGGGACTCAGGGGCAGAGGCCTTGCATCTGAAGAAGTGAGGTTCTTACCCACGAAAGCTTATACTCCCAATACTTCTGTTAGTCTTAAAGGTGCCACAGGACCCTCTGTTGCTTTTTACAGATTCAGACTAACACGGCTACCCCTCTGATAATAATTATTGGTTTCCTTTAAGTCCCAGCTCCTGGAGTCAAGTGTATATGTATGTGATGATTTCAGCCTTCATTCTTAAAGAGAAATGAAGTTTCTAGCCCTTGTGGCTGTGGAGAAAGCTTCAAAATGTAACCCCAGTGCACTGTAAAGGCTCAAAAAGCAGACTGTAAACAAAAAGAACACCAAATCTATTATTTTTACATAATATCATTATTTTTAAAGCCAATCTCATGATTTTTGGTGAGCCCGATTCATGATTTTTAAACATTTGGGGTTGGCAATATTATGAAAGTGACTTGACAGTGTCAGTTTCACTCCTGTTTAAAGGCAGTTTCTAGTCTATTATTTGTAGTGGGGTAGCACCCCTAGAGTCCCAGGCAGGTGCAGTATAAACGCATGGGGCCTTGCCCTAATCGGATGCTTCCAAAAGTTAAATGATCTATTCCAAGCTTGATGAACTGCAAAAAAAGTGATCAAAAGTAATCTAGATTTTTCTACGATTGTTTCAAGTGTTGTATTCAAGAATTAGTAACAAAGTAAGAATACACATTACATTTTTAAACCTAACCAGTGTCCCTTAAGTGAATTGACACAAGATGTCAGAACATGTTTAGAATTTTTTAGAAATTGGGGGGAGGGATAGCTCAGTGGTTTGAGCATTGGCCTGCTAAACCCAGGGTTGTGAGTTCAATCCTTGAGGGGACCATTTAAGGATCTAGGGCAAAAATCTGTCTGGGGATTGGTCCTGCTTTGAGCAGGGGGTTGGACTAGATGACCTCCTGAGGTCCCTTCCAACCCTGATATTCTATGTTAGTATTGGAGCTGAGTGGGTCTAATACACCTCTACCTCAATATAACGCTGTCCTCAGGAGCCAAAAAATCTTACCACGTTATATTGAACTTGCTTTGATCCACCGGAGTGCGCAGCCCCGCCCCTCCGGAGTGCTGCTTTACCGCGTTATATCTGAATTTGTGTTATATAGGGTCACGTTATAGCGAGGTAGAGGTGTATTTATTTAATTTTCTTTCTTTCTTTATATAGGAATTAGAAATTATTATCTGACAGGAGCACTCTAAGTTACTATCTGAAAAACAAACAGAGTTTTCAGGTCCCCAAGTAGCCTCTGGAATCATGGTTAAAATCGCCCCCAATCTGAAATGGCGACCCTGCCTATCAGAGCTCCAAATCAGGAAGAAAGAAAAAAAAAAAACCTTCCCTTCACAGAACATGGAGGGTTTTAAAGGAAGCTGTGGCTCATATACCTACTTCCTCTTTATGCTCCAGGTCCTCATTATCTAGGTCTTTTTCCACCTCTTCCTCACCATCATCTTCGCAGTCATCTGCAAAAGTAGAAAAGAGGTGGAGCAGGTGGCCTCCATCATAGCATCCTTCTCCCTAACCCTCCCCAAAAAGGCAGGCCACCCTGGTGTGCAGCACACATGCCTTGTCCCTATAAGCCACCACAAAGCTGAATGTAAGACTTAGAATAAAGATCAGAGCCCATGTGTTCCAGCAGATACAGCTGCATATGGGACCTAGGGCTTCCACCTTGGTTCTCCTGGATGAAATCACAGCATTTCGACACCTTGACACTCGCCATCACAATGTGGCGCCATGTTCTGTTACAAAGCAATGGGATGACTTTATGCTTCACTGCAAAGATATTATAGGATGCTGTTAATCTATATATCTACCTGAGGGTTCTATTCTGACCCCCATTACTGGTGTATCTGAGCACGTTCCATGTAAAAGCCAATAGCAATAATGAAGTCCCTAGTGGACTTTATGGCATCTCTGGCTCTTCTCTCTTTTGGGGGTAAAAATTCTCTTGGGCATGAATTTTATTGCTTGATTTAGGTTTGCCGGAGGTGGGGTAGGCAAGAAGGGCGGCGAGTTTTATTCTTGCTATGGTATGTCCTGCATGCCTAGACGACAAGAAGCCGGAGCATCCAGAGGAAATCAGAAATGCCCCATGAAAATCAAGGAAAGTCCTGAAGATCAATACCTTCTAAAGAGGTGAGGCAGAAATTTGGAGCTATAGAGCAGAAGCTCCACAATCTTTGTTGAACATGTTGGCACCGATGAAATGGAAGTCAGAGTTTTGTTTGGGCTGTACCATAATGATGCTGGTTTGGAGTGTGAAGGCTGGCAGCAGGAGGCAGCTGTGCTCAAGGTCATATTTGTTTCGTTCCTGGGCATGCCTCTTACATGTATGCTGCTCGCCTGCCTGGGCATACAGCCTGCTGGCCTGCAGGTGCTCACAACCTCCATTCACGCAGCATAGCCACCGACGGATTATTTCAGAAGGAAAAAAGGCTGCTGGTTGACAGCATCAATTTACTGAATAAGTTGCAAAGAAGGACGTGTGTACACGTATGTACACACACACGCACCCTCCCTTCCCAGTTGCTATGAAGCAACAGTAGTTCCAGCCTTTGCCAAGGCCATTCCTTCAGGTCACTTTAAAGCAATAAGGATTATTTCACTACCCCTCCCCTTCACTATCTCACATCTCCATTCTCCACACAGCACCTGCTGGTCTTGACAGAAACACCCAGAGTGAGGGATTCAGACCCAGTTCTATAGCATGACAGTCTGGGCCACCATGCAAGTTTTAAATGCAAAGATCGGGACTGGATTCCTCTCTGCCCAGGCCCCCACCTTCCATTCTCCCCATCAGTCCCTGCCCCCCCGCACACACACACACATTCTCCCTTCAGTCAGCAATTTACCTTCAGGCCCTGCACGGGGAGGTTCGGAGCCGACACTCCCAGGAAGAGAGAAGGAATAGGAGCTGTGTACTGTAGCCAAAGGCAGAGGCCCCTTAGGGTAGCACTTCCTCAGGATCTGGGCCACTGTATTTACTATAGGATCCAGGGGCTTGCTATCCAGGCAATCCTAGGCAGCAATGAAGATGAATAGTCAGTGATGTTTGCCATTCAGAAGCATCCTTCCTCTTGCACAGATCCACCAAACCTTAAAATAGATGCTTCCCTGAAAGCCTTAAAAAGCAGCATTTGAATAATAGTCAGCCAGTTCTGCGTCAACCTCTTATATTTCCTGTGTTTCTCTTTCATCCTTTTCCTTTCTTATCACATCAGGGAAGTCTACATGGGAGCACAGCATCTTGTTTTTTTAATAGTTTATCTGCTTCTACAGCTCATTTACCATCTGCTGATACATCCATCTAAAGGGCACAGGGTCCCCTAGCACCACACAAAGGCACTGGGGTCAGTACTGTCTCAGAGACAAAAGAGCAACTGCTACTGAGTTATCCATACACCTCCCTACAGCTAGCGCAGGGCGAAATTCTTCAGCTGGAGCTTTTGGGGGGGGCACGAAATGCTGATTCAGCGACCAAAACGTTTTGTGTCAGTTTCACCGAACTGATCATTTCAAACAAATGCCAAAAAAAAGTCTAAATGTTTTGATTTTTTGGTTTGAAGGAACTTTTCATTCAGAAATTTCCTTCAAATTTAAAAACATTTTTTTTAAAAAAAGGTCTAAATCTAAATTAAATGGTTCATTTAACCAGAAATGAATTTTTCTTCGCTTTTCGACTTTCTGAAAATTGCGATACATTTTAGTGTCAGTTCAACTTTTTTTTTTTTAAGACTTGCCGGCAAGCTGGAAGGCTACATAAAACACAGTCCCCTTCAGCACTGCACTGTGGCTCAATACTGATCCAGAAGGGACAGCACTTCCTACTTAGCCACGCATGTCATCCCTGAGCCAGAGTGTGATGAGTAAGGCACGATTATGTCACAGAGGTCACAGAATCCGTGTCTTCCACTGACCTCCGTGACATTTTCTGCCCTGGGGCTGGAGCTTCCAGCCAGCCCTGTCCTCACAGCTCCCAGCACCCAACCTCGTGGGGGCACCCTGCAGCTGCCCAGCCATGGCGGCCGGCAGACCCCCTGAATCTGCCCAGCTGCAGCAGGCGGCCAGTGGACCCCCTGCATCTGCCCAGCCGTAACAGGGACTTCCCACAGCTGCCGCCACAGCCAGAGGCTGGGGGACCCTGCAGCTACCAGCTGTCCAGGGCGAGGGGACCCCGCAGCAGCCCAGTCCTAGGGGGACCCCGGAGCTCCCACACACCGCATCGATGGGGGATGCGGGAGCCCCAGCAGCAGTGGGTGCTGAACCCACCTACCCGTTTTGTCAGGGATATTTTTTGTGAAAATCAGGGACAGGTCACGGGCTGCCGTGAATTTTTGTTTATTTCCCATGACCTGTCCATGACTTTTACTAAAAATATCCATGACAAAAACATAGCCTTAGTGATGAGTCATCAGAAGCAATTACCTGCAGGTCTAGTAATAGGCCCTGCGCCATTCAGCAAGGGTTTAGTCAATCCACAGGCAAGAACCCACACCCAGGTGATCCCACCTCAGGTATATAGGCTCCTAAGGGAAAGAATCTCTCCATTCTGCTCAGCATCACTACCTGGCCAGGAACACTCCCGTTGCCAATAGTTTCATCAGACTGCCCTTGCTCCAGCTCCAGCCTACTTGTGCCTGTTTCCACGCTAGCCTGCCCCTGTTCCAGCCTGCATCTGCTTCTGCCTCAGCCGGGCACGCAATGGTTCTGACATATCCCGTGCAGGGGCAGCTTCCTAGATCTCCATTAGTTTTTCCCCAGGCACGCGCGCACACACACACACACACACACACACACACACACACACACACAGTGGAACCACAGATTGTCAGCCTGAAGGACTTATTTTAAATTAAGGAAAACAAGACAAGACAAGAATAAAAAGGGAAGTCTCCTTGGGAGGGTGCAATAGGTGAGGGCCTCTTCTGTAATAAGGACAGCAGCTCTGAGAACAAAATGGTTGCTGCCTCTGCACAAAGGTGGAGTTCTTAGAAATTTATATGTGCAATACAGAGAAAACAAAGGAATTGTCGTTTCGTAGCTACAGAGCATATATACACCACAGCCTCCTCAGGGGAGAAGAGGACTGCAAAGCTAATATAGCTATCATCTGTCTAGCTAGCTTCTTATGCTGAACCATGCCTGCTAGCATAGTAGCGGAGTGTCTGTATCCTTGGTGACTTGGGACTGAGCCCTCACACACCAGAATATCAGTAGAAGCCACAGAAAGCACCATAAAGGCACCAAGACATGAAAAAGCAACATCAACATGATCTTTTATTACCATTCAGAATGTTTACACCCTCTCAGTAGACATTGAAAATGGAACAATCCAGAAGACAGAATAAATGGTTAGTGCCAGGGGCTGAGCCTCCCACAGTACAAAATATGGAGGGCTGGGGCTATTCAGCTAGTCCAGCGGGGTGATTGGTGAACAAACTGAAGTGCTTTGTAATACGCAATAAAAGGAAAATGGCTGTATTTTATACCGGCTCTTATTCCACTTCCGCCTGTATGAATGAAGGGCATTATAAGAGTCTGCGGAATTAGTCAGGATTCCTATGGGGAGGCTAGAAAAATCATCTAAGCTCACCTGCTTACAAGACTCAGCTACAAGAATCTAAGTATGTGTTTCTAGATCTCTGGCTGTTAGGAATAAGAGTGGCAGAAAAGACAATTCTGAAATCAGCTCTGAGGAAGGGAAGAGCAAAGGCCTAGAAGAACTGGTTTCTATTCACAGCTTTGCCTCTGACTCACTGTCTAATCCTGGGCAAGTCATTCAGCTTCTCTGTGTCTCAATTTCCTTATCAGTAAGAGACACTTAACTACCTTGCAGCTATTTTTGTGAACCTACGTTCACTAATGTTTGTAAATGCTTTGAGATCCTCACATGATGTGGTCTGTAAGTGTGCAAAGAACTGTTTGTGAAGCACAGCGCAACATCAAACATGAGTCCTCTGGATCCAGTCCAAAGGTAGGGATTAAACCACTTAGCATACAGAGCTAATGCTAGAAAAGGAGTAAGGTGAAGTTAAAATTGCTGAAGGCATGCAACTTAATAGGGTGGCATCTGTCTGCAGGGTGTGTTCTCACGTATGCGCAAACAGTGGTGTGAGGGTAAAGTTGCTGTAGCTGTGTGTGTGTGTGTGTGTGTGTGTGTGTGTGTGTGTGTGTGTGTGTGTGTGTGTGTGTGTGTGTGTGTGTGTGTGCTGCAGATAAGGGAACAAACTCAATTCTTAGTTCAGAACTCCAAAGTAGAGTTGACCTGAACTCAACTCATCTATGCTGTAGTCTCTGCACTCTGTATATTTGAGAGTTATTTGATGCCAATACAGGAAAGGTTGAGACTATAACAATATTAACTGAGAGGAGAGGCTAAGGCACAGGGACTGAGGAGATACCAGCTGAGCCTAAACAAAGAAATCAGTTGTGCAAATAATAAAGAAGCAGAGAGGGTGCTGCATGCAACCGTCTCCTGCACACTCTTGTGGGGCAGAGAACATTCTCTCGTCTCACTGCAACCTGCATGCCTCCCAGGCCTGTGAGCTCTGACTGAGACCTCAGCTAGATTAGGCCAATAGGTCGTGTTTAAAGATATGTTTGCTAGCATGTTTTAACCAGCACATTTACACATGAGCATAGAAAGAGTTTAACACTAGAGCTGGGTGGAGAAAAGAATTTCTGTTTCATGGAGACTTGTAATATTTCAACATTTGTTTCCATTCTGATTCAAAACAAAAACCCGCTTTTTTTTTTTTTAATTCATCACAAAAGAGACTGGAGCCTCATTTCTGGGGCAGGCTATCTGATGGGTTGCCACAGAACAGGGGACCGAGAAACCCAGGCTGCTGAAGTGCCATGCGTCAACATTCCCAAGGCTTCCTGTCAGCATACCAGATGGGCTGCTGAGGATCCAAGGTGATCGAGCTGGCAGGGAAGCAGGCAGGTTTCTAACAGAAAACTACCTGACAGGCAGGGTTCCTTAGGAGTCTTTCCTGGGTTCTGTCGGAACATCGTCAAAATCAAATGGTCTCAAAACGTTTCAGTTTCAAGTAACATATAAGCAAAGGCAGCCAATTCCAATGAAAGAACATTTCGTCAGAATTTTTCCAATCAGATCAATTTAACATCTTTAAAACCAGGTTAGTTGGTCATAGGACGAATCACCACCAGCTAACACATTTGTAAAAGGGTTAAAACACCATCTAGACAAGGACTCTCAGTAGATTCGGTCTCCCAGAGCAGGGAGGTCTCTCACGGCAGCCAGCACACTCTCCCTGGATCTCTTTATCATGAGCATACTGAAGAGTCCCAGCAGCGGCAGCAGTGTGATGTGCACACACTCATCTGTGGTTTCTAGTTGTGAGTGGGGAACTGGGCGGGATCCTCACAGGGTTGTACCTGTCCTCCAGGCGGTTGGGAGAACATCATTTGATCTCTCAGGGAGACAATGTAAGACCGAAAATGTACTTTTTAGGGGTCAGGGTATGTGATATTTTGGACTTATTAACCTTGGTGATTCCCCTGCCAACAGATCTCCCATGGCACGTGGTAGAGAAAGCAAACTGGAACCCCCTGAAGCTGTCATTTCTGCTCCACTTCCGACCTTTGGAAGGATTAGCATTCTCACTCTTCACGGGATTCTTGGTGTGTCGTATCTTGTTTATTCACCCAAGGTGACCCAGTGTTTGCACTTTTCAGGGTGCTGCTCCCAGGCTGAGCTATCAGGAGACATTAGCTCAGAAGGCACCATGGACTGGTAAAGGCTTATAAAGGCAACAAGCCATGATCGGCTGTCACAGACATTGCCCTCACACGGCTGCTACCGTTCACCACGTGCACTGGGGACTTACCGTTCACAAGAGCCATACCTGATCGAAACTTTGCTACACCTGATCCCCTAGCCCAGGGATCGGCAACCTTTGGCACGCGGCCCATCAGGGAAATCCGCTGGTGGGCTGGGCCGGGCCGGTTTGTTTACCTGCAGCGTCCGCAAGTTTGGCCGATCGCGGCTCCCACTGGCCGCGGTTCGCCGTCCCAGGCCAATGGGGGCTGCGGGAAGTGGCATGGGCCGAGAGATGTGCTGCCTGCTGCTTCCTGCAGTCCCCATTGGCCTGGAACAGCGAACTGCGGCCAGTGGGAGCCGCGATTGGCTGAACCTGCAGATGCTGCAGGTAAACAAACCTGCTCGGCCCGCTAGGGGCTTTCCCTGATGGGCCACATGCCAAAGGTTGCTGATCCCTGCCCTAGCCCCACCTGAAGCAATGGCCAATTCCTCAGGCACCAGAGGAAGGCCATCCCATTAGGATGCATGTCCCATGCACCTGTGAGATGCTGCAGCGGCTCAGCCAAAGGGAGAGACTGTGAAGCATCTTGGGAGATGCAAGCTAGCCAGGGAGTAGGGTACACAGGAAGAATAGGGGCATGCGGGACCTGGACCTATAATTCCCATGAGCGCCTGCAGAGGCGCAGGCAGACGGAGATTAACATTAAAGATGAAATGTTTCAACATTTCTGAACAGATTTTTTGTTCTCTGAAAAATTTCAATGTTTTGACTTTTTGTCCTGATTCGGGACAACAACAACAAAAAAATCAAAGTATCGCAATTTTCTACAGGACAGAAATTCCATTTTTCAATCAGCTCCGCTTAAAACATAAGACAAATTCTACATTGCAAAGGTAGAACAAGCCAGAAGCAGCTGCTGAGCTGGCCCCAGCTTGCGTTTACCTGTGCAGTGGTGAAGAGGATCTCCATGCCACGGGCACTGAGGAAAATCTCCCTGGCAGACTGGATGTTGGTGATGTGTTTGAGGCAGAGCAGGAGACCCCTGCGGACGTGGATGTACCTATTGGAGGCGTCGCAGCGGTGCCAGTCCTGGTACAGCCTGAGCAGTTCACACAGGTAGCCTCTGTTGACCGCCCGTCGGCTGTTAGACTCTGAAACCAAACAGGAATGGCTGAGTTGCAAACTTCCCCCCCACGCACACACACTAGCACTGATTGATGATTGTCATATGTATGCACAATGCTCACACACTCGCATGCACACACTCACACATCCATTTGGTCTTGTGCACACAATCAGAGACATGTTTATTAACTTGATTTTAATAATTTGCATGTGTGACCTTAATTGTTATTTGTTAAGCATAGAGCATGTGCTTGGCATAGCACTAAGCAAAGCAAAAACTAAAGACAATTCCAGCAATGAGATGCTTGGCACAAGTGGGAGATGCTGGATTGACAGCCCTGGAGACTGGATTGACAGCCCTATGAGTGGAGCACAGGGCAGCAGCATAGTTGTGGCTGCCTCCATCTGACCCACCGCACCCATTTTGTTCCTCAAAATGAATATGAAAGAGAGTGGAGCTATTGACGGGGGGAAAAAGAGAGATGCAATAGGATTGGTTGGGAGAAGGTCATGTGATCCTCATACAGTAGTATGGATCTCAAAGGAGACTGACATATGGTGGGCAACAAAGCCAACCACCTTTCAGTCACATGATCCTGCCCCAGACAATGAGGTTGTGTTTGGCTACTGAAAGGTGTGATGCATGCTCACACACCCCTTTGTAATGAAAGCCATTGCACAACAGAGATTGTAAAATCACAGCCCCTTCCGCCATTTCAGGACTGCCAACCCAATCATTAATCAGGCTCAAAAGATCACGATTAACTTAAAAATCACGAGTGATTTTTTTTTAAAAACAGAACACCACATTTGGTTTCTTTTTCTTTGCCCTCTGGTTTCTGAGCCTTGTGTGCGCGCTCAGGTCAAGCTTTACTCCAAAACCATAAAGGTTTAAAAGTTCTTTACAAAAAATTAACACTGAGATTCTCACAATCACATGTCTCCAGACGCTTGGTCTTTAAGACAAACACCAAATATTGCAAGACTCGCAATAAAATCACAAAAGCTAGCAACACTGCCATTCAACATTTCTGAAGTGCCTTTTCTCTGCGTTCCTTGCCCTGCCCCAGTGTGTGCAAGTACAGGCAAGCTGCAGGTTGTTCTTTCCCCTTTAAACCAGCCCTTGAATGAATGTATTTTTCCTGGCTGGTCCACCACACGCCTCATTCTGACCCATTTCAGAAGCTGCCAAGAGCATGCTCATCAACCCACAAGGCCAGGAAACGTGTTGGGCCCCCTGAATCCCAATTACTGTATGGGGTTTGCAACAGAAAGCTCTTGGTGTGGGTTTTCCAGGGCTAGTGGGCTCCAATCCATTGCTGTTTCATAAAAAGAGCGCCAGAACCACTCACACCTGGAGCATTAAAGTCATCAGTTGGGATTTACAGAGGGAAGAGGAAAAAGGGAACCAGAGATTAAGGAGGAGAAAGAAAGGCAGTGAGACTGGGGCCAAGGGAGGTCGGCAACCAGGAGAGAATGGGGAGTCACTGTGGCAGGTCTAGGCGTTGCAGGTGAAGGGCAGACAGCAAACCTTGTGAGTTCAATCCTTGAGGGTGCCATTTAGGGAACTGGGGTAAAAATCTGTCTGGGGATTGGTCCTGCTTTGAGCAGGGGGTTGGACTAGATGACCTCCTGAGGTCCCTCCCAACCCTGATATTCTATGATTCTAAGGACCCTGTGGCAAGTCTTCTCTATCTGTTCTTTGGAAACATCCCACCGAAATCTTGCACAAAGAGGGAGGATTGGTGAGAGCAAAGAGCTCCGCACAAAGCTCTGCCAATAAACTTCAGTCCTGACCTGCAGCATCTCCTGTCATTCCATTTCTGGGAAGCCCCCCAGAGGTCTGCCAATGCAAATCAATCCTGACCTGCAACCCCATTGCTATACCAGTCCTGGGCTACCACATTCATCTGCTGAAGCACCTCAATCTTGATCTGCCGTCTCTGTTATTCCCTTCCTAGGTCCTTCATGCAGCTCTGCCACTGCACCTCAGTCCAGGCCTGCAGCAGCCTCTGCTGTCTTACTTCTTGGCCTCCACACAGCTCTGACAATATATCTCATGTTTTCAGCTCTGGCAATTGTGAGTGTGTATGAAACCACAGGCGGGTTACTCCTCTGACCTTCACTCAGTATTGGTGTGCACGCGCATGCTAGAAAACTTTAATTGCTTGAGAATCCCTTATCAGTCCCAATGGTTTGATTCACGATTTCCTGTTAATCCGCCGCCAGATGTCATGTTCGCTAACCTGCAGGATGACTAACCCCTCAAATCAGTCAATCTTCCTTGAAGAATTGCTTAGGGAGTTCTGCCAAAGTATATACACATGACAAGAGGCAGAGCAGAGTCGGGGAGCTTGGGCTGGGGGCAGTCTGAATCAGACTCAAGGTGGCCTCCTGCCTTGTACAGAGGCTAATGAAATCAGAATGGAGCTAGAGCCACACCATTTAGCACTCCGACCCATTTGTCAGGACCCATGGGGCGTAGTGGTGGTGGAAAGGACTGGGAGTGGAGCTAGTTAGAAATTTCAACTAAAGTAAAATTCCTGTAAAATATTTTTTGAAGATTTTTCCCCCCCATTTTTCAACCAGCTCTAGCCTGGGAGTCAGGACGCCTGGCTTCTGTTCCTGACTCTGGCAGTGACTCGCACGTATGGCCTTGTGCAAGTCACTTGATCGCTCTGTGCCTCAGTTTCCAATCCTCCCATTGTGCATTATGGATAAAAAGCACGACACAGTCTAAGAGCTGAGAATATTTATTATTTATTTCTCTTAGGTTTCCTGTAGCACTTATCAATGTAGCATCTAAACATTGGCATTATGAATTAAAGTAGGGAAGTCTGTTCTAGAGGGAAGGAAGGTTACTAGGACAGGACAGGAGGGAATCATTCTGTGTCCATACCCGCAACACCTTGATTACAAGAGATGAGAATTACTGGTGAGGAACCAAAATGCTGTTGTCTCATTTAGATATTCAGTTTGGTTGGTTTTCCTGGACCATCCCATCAACCTCTCCTGTTCTCCTCCCATTGGCGGGTCTCTCTCATTCTATTCTTCCATTCCTTTTTCAGTTTTATAGTCAGCAAAGCAGAGAAAGAGCAAAAAAGGAGGAATGCCAAAATCTCCAGAAGGCAGGAAGGAAAACAGAAACCTCCCCACCTGTCTCTTATCTGTTGGTCTCTCCATCTACGCGATGCACCTGTCTGTGTATGTCTGTATTTTGGCTAAAATACAGATGGTGGGTATGAGCCACAGAGATACAAGCAGCCCTGTGCACATTTGTAGGCTGCAAGAAGTCAGCTCCTCCTGGAGCGGATTTGCATATCCTGTGTGGTAGGTGGTAGAATGCCCTTTGCCTCTCAACCTTTTTGCTGTTGGTCCTGCACTGTGCTACAGGTTTCCACTAATATTCCATTGCAGTCAATGGATAATGAGGACATATTTGGCCCACACTTCTCTGCCTGGACACACCGAATGAGTTTGATGGCACATCAGGCATGCTTTGCCTGGATGTACCCAGCACAGCTGGTACATTCATCCTGGAGGTTCCACAGTGGTTAAAGATGCATCTAAAGCCAGGAGCTCACACAAAAGAAAAGTCTCCCGTTTCAAGGGAACCCTGGCTCGTTCATTGCATGGCAGGTGGGGGACCCCAAAACAGGGTTTGAGGATAGCAGATAAACGTCATCAGTTAGCCGTCATTATGGCCTCAGGGCTGTTGCTGTTTCTAGGGATGCTCCTGAAGCCTCTCCTTTTCACCTCTGCCCCCTCTGAAGCTGCACACATGGAGATCACCTGGTTTATACAATCACATAACTGGATTACAGTCAACCTGAAATATGATGAGCAAGCCACTGCTTACCAGGGAGAACAAAGAGATATTTATCTTTGTGTCTAGCTATTTAAATCTCTTTGGTGC